CCCTAATAAACTCTGCTTTATTCTCCTCTCTGTGTCTGCGTCTCTAATTCTTCATGAGTATAGGACAACCACCAGCAGGGGCTTTGGGTCTGATCACCCAGCATGCCATTAGGACTGTCAATTGGCTAAACCACTTTGAATAATTATATGACAGGGTCCCCTGAAGCTGGGAACAGTGATACACTGTCAGCCAGTGCTACTCATATTGTCTGAAACTTAAAATAAATCTCAAAATGGACACATAAATTAAAGCATATCTGCTTATTGTGATATTAAACAGCAGTAAGAATGAACAAGCTATTAGTATGTGGTCTGTCATGTATAAATCTTCTAATCAAAATGTTTGACAGAAGACACGGACAAAAAGGGTACCACTACGATTCTTTTTGTATAAAGTTAACACATAAAACTGGCAACACTTTATGAAGATGGAAGTCCAAGTGGTGGTAAAAGAAAAATAAGCCAGTTAATTTAATAGAGTAGAGTTTTAATAGAGTATATCTTAACACAATTTAAGTCGGGCAGTTTTTCCTCGACTTCTGGACAACTATGGCCAGCCTCGTGGTCACTGGCCCTTTAAGTTGGTGGAACAGGAAAGTGACTTGTACAGTGAAAGTAAAGAGAAGTAAGTGAGGGAGTGAGGTAGAGACATCTCTGGTTACAAACATCAGTCTGTCTGCCTTAACGCCGTTTAAAAGGTGGGATGCCTGTGATTGACTGTAACCTAACAACCAGCTCAGCAAAACAGCCTAACATGTACAATTTGACCCATCCATAGGAATCAGAGTGTGGAAGTACAGCGGCTGTTCTAAGCCAAAGTAGTTTAATTTAACAGTGGCTGCCCTTGGTAGTGGGAAAACGGGTGGTAGATACCATGCCGGTACATCATTCGGGCATGTAGGATGGTGTTTCTATTCTTTTTCTGAAACTGGGCCAAGGGTGTGTTGAATTCGAAAATTAATCAAGCTACGCACTTACAATTTGTGCAAAGTATTGTATATATGCTATGAATTTTTTAAAAATCTCAATTTCTAGTGCACAAAAATGGAGACAAATCAAGGATCCTCTAAAAGTCCTGGGCTCTCAGTTTCTCTTCTGTTGAGAAAAAATAAATTTCCCCCAAACTGAAAAGGTACAAGGGCTATAGTAAAAGTAAAACATCTTCTTAAAGGGCTTGGAATGTAAAGCACATTTACATGTTAGGACCCCAAAGCAACAGGTAAGACGTCAGACTGTTACTGTAGTTAAGCAGCATGGCCCAGGAGTGAGGGCCATAATATTTATAGGGTTCCTACTTAAAGGAAAGATAAGGTTTTAACTTCAACACTTAAGCTATTTTGCAAGTTGGAAATGGCAGGCTGTGAGCATTTGGACCCCAGGGTGAGTAAACATTGCACCTTCCTAGAGAAGAAATTGATTACCAAAGATCCCATCAATCAAAAAGACCCACAGAGGATCATGCCCTTTTGAACCAATCATGTACAGGGAGCACCTGCCCTTAATTTTGCCCTTAAAAATGGGTAACTTGTTGGGGAGACTGGGCACCAGCCTCCCGGCTTACACAGAGCTCTACAGATTTCCTTCATCACACCTTGTCTCTGCAGGTGTGCTTGGGCAAGTAGACCAATCTGTGTTTGGTAACAAAAGGGAAAACGGTGGTGGAGGGGAAGAGACTATGGTCCATCTTACAACTAAGCTCCTCAGATCCAGCAAGTCCACACGCAGTGAGCACAGTCAGTGTGCACAGAGCACTGTGCACACGGAATGGACTCTGCGACACAAGGCTGCCTTGAGCAGTAGACAAGTGTGATGCACACCCAGCTCCTTGCTTTGCCATACCTGATGGATAGACTTTCCATGTGCTCATCTTAGACACGTGCTCCTCTAAGAGACTCTACCCACTGCAGGGCAAAAGAAGAGCCCTCAACAGAGCCACTACTGCTCACACCCGGGCTGTGACCGGAGCACAACACCAAGGCCACTCTCCATGAGACTCACAAGCCTTGGAACCCGCGGCTCCAGCGGAGACTTGCCTCTGTCCCAGCCTCAGCACTGGCCCTTGGACCCTTTGTGAGACTTCCAGGAACAGGTTAGATGCAGCCTTGGGAGATGCTTGGGGTGTCTTAGGACCCACGGAGGCTGCTCGGGGTGACCTGCTAACATGATCATTCTTTCCCTGGGCCTGACAGCTCTGCTATGAGGACCTCCAGGCAATGTGGTAAGTCTGCCATTGTAGATAGACCCCAACGCACCTGGAGTCTTATTCCCTGGCTCTCATCAAGGGCCTTCAGAGCTTTGCAGAGCTGCCATATGCCACTCCCATGACCAGCGCCATTCTTCTAAGGTTCTGCACCATTTCTAAGCAAACTGGAAGCTTAATCTCACATGTGTATATGTGTGTGTATGTGAGTGCTTGTGTACATAAAAGATGGTATCATTCTGATTCTTAGGCATCTGATATGTTGCAGTAACTATAGAACTCGACCCTAATCAAATAGATGAGCAGTCTTGGGCGTGCGTGCCCTGGAGATGTAAGAGTGTTCTATGCTCTTATCTGAGATGGTGTTAAAATGTAAGTAGGTGATGACCAAAGAAAAGGCCACTGACACTTCACAGTGACCTCATCAGAGGAGTTCAGGTCCTACAATGCACTCTTGCAAACGTCTGTGAGACCAGTTGTTAATTTATTCAGGAGCAATAAAATAAAACAGATGTTAATAGATGTAGTATCATTGCATTTCTGTTTATGTGTGATTTGGGCCAGTAACAAAGATCAAGCAATGGAGTAGGAAGAATCCTATTCCTTAAGGATTCCTCCTTCCTTCCTTTCTTTCTTTCTCTTCCTTCTTTCTTTCTTCCTTCTTTCTTCCTTCCTTCCTTCCTTCCTTCCTTCCTTCCTTCCTTCCTTCCTTCCTTCCTTCCTTCCTTCTTTTTCTTTCTTTCTTTTTTTTTTGCTATAGGGTATGTGTGTTCGCCAGAAAGACAGAGAGAGACAGAGAGACAGAAAGTGAGAAATCACGCCCCAGGGGGGATGGCCATGACACAATCCCTTCTCCTCCATTCTCCTCTCAGGATCTTGGACACACATGCACACATGCCCTACGTGAGTTTAAGCGGCCAAGTCCGGGACTCGAACCAAACTCGACTACGTGGAAGTCCAGTGACATAACCATTATGCTAACTGCTGGTCCCAAGATTCTTTATTTTTTAAAGAATAATGAGTTTTAAATGTAAAGTACAATATTTCACATTCTTTTCTTCAGTGGTATGTAAAGCTTAGGTAAAATTCTTCCAGTGCGGTAGTGCTAGTATTGCTCCTTTTAAGAACGTTCATGTGAAGTAAGCCCCTGTGAACTCACACAGGACACGTCCTCACTGGTTACTTATGCAGGACAGTCTTCCGGGAGACTTTGGATGCCCCCGTTGCATTTTTAAACCCAAAGAGAAACTATGAGTTAGACGTTAACTGGCTTTCTCAAGATTATGCTTTCCAGAGACGACCAAAGGAGGCCCCCAACCGAGATCTCACTGTGCAAATTTCTTGGTTTATGCATGCAGATTTAAGCATCCCTCCAGCTTACAGAGCTCTTTTCTTGAAACAGGACTGGATCAACCCACATGTAGTCCACGTGTCATAATTGAATCTGTTCTAGAATGCACAAAGGCACTGGAGATTTGGCAGGAATTCTTTGCAATGAGTATTAAAAAATGTGATTAAAAAGATCAAGAAGCCACCAAGAGTCATTACCTTCTGTATACTGTCAGTGTTGGCAGGTACACAAGCCAGTGGTATGAGCTAAGTGTTCAGCAAGTACAGGTAGACTCTGGGGCCAGACTGCTTATCTGAATTTCTTTTATAGTTTATTTTACTCATGATAGAGACTGTGTATGATGTGCATACATGCATGTTCATGAAAGAGAGGGAGAAAAAGACGCATTCTCAACAGCGTTTCCTCCTGCCGTGACCCCTTCTCCCAGCCCTACTGCTCAGCAGGATCTTGGGCTTCTGGCGTGTTTCAGGCTCACTGGGCTGGGGATCTGAACCTGTGTGAGCATGAGCCTGGAGTGCTGCAGTTCAGCACACCACCACACCACGCCAGCTGCCCTGTTTGCTTCTAAAATCTATTTCTTCCAGGACCAGTGGATGCATAATGGTTACGTTGCTGGACTCCCACATAGTTGATCACAGTTTAAGTTCCAGACCGATGTGCCCCAAAATCCCAAGAGGAGAATGATGGAGAAGGGATTTCAGTGTGGCCATCTCCCCTGGGGGGTGATTTCTCGCTCTGTCTCTCTGTCTCTCCAGCAAGCATATGTGCCCTACAGCAAAAATCTCTCTCTTAAAAAAAAAAATCTAGTTCTTCCTATTAATAGCTGAGAGTCCTTGAAACTATTAGTCTCTCTTTACCTTGATTCTTTATCAATAAAATGTACTCACTACATAGGCTCATTAGGACAGATCAGCCCCTCAAGAGTGACCAGTACGGTATTTGGCATCGTTTCGAGAATCTCCAGATAGGAAACCAGCGCTTTTACTTTTCCATTAAGAGAAGATCAATCACAGGCCCATCTGTTCACTCAAGTTTGGAGGACTGTGCACACCTTTGTAACCACCTCCCAAAACAGGAAGTGAGCCCTCGCTCCCGGAAGGTACCGATGACATTCCGCAGTCAGTTCCTCTCTTCCTAGCTTTTATCATATAATTGAATATCATTTGTCCTTTTAAGCTTTTAGATATTACAACTTCCCAAAATATAATTTGTGTAACATAAATTTGCACAGAATATTCAATGGTTTTTATATGTTCACAGAATTGTGGAACTTTTACCACAGTTGATTTTATAACATTTTCCTAACCACCAACAGAAAATCCAGCCTCATCATCAGACACTCCTCATTTTCAGTTGGCTTCTTCCCCTAACAACAGCGAACAGCAGCCTTCAGTCTACACAGTACACAGCTTTATTTATTTATTTATTTTTTTTATAGATTTTTGTTATAGGGCTCATGCACTCCCTTGAGACACAGAAACAGAAAGGCAGAAAGCAAGAAATCACTCTCCAAGGGGGATGGCCACACCACAATTCCTTTCCCTCAGGACTCTGAGCATGCACACTCACACCTAGCGTGATTTTCAAGCAGCCTGGTCTGGGACTTTTGCACTGTGGTTGACCACGCAGGCATCCAGCACCCTAACCATTATGCCACCTGCTGGCACCAGCATTTTTTTAAATCATATTCTACTATAATTGGCATATAATAGTTGTGAATATTCACGTTCTAGCCCATCTGTTTCTCATAAAAGGAAGATCTGAGTCTGGGTAACTTCTGTAGACAATTTTATTTTACATGTACTAGAAATCCCTCACTAAATGTGGCCTTGGACCTTAACCTCCAAATTGAGAGCTGAAAAAATCAACTAATTTATAAGTTAGTACCATAAAGCAAGCCTTGCTTGTGGGTAACACGGTGCAAGGCTGGAGCTTGAACAGAGCAGAGGGTGGCTGTCTGTCCCATTTCTTCTCCCTTTAAACCCAGCAGGACTCAACCATGGGGTCCCCGATCTAATGCTTTATCACTACTCCAAAGCCCCATCTTTCAACACCATAATTAGATCAAGGCTCTCTTAATACCTTCATAGTACAACCAAGTTCCAATACACGAATCTGGGGGGACCCATTCAAGCTACAGCAATGAGGTACAGTATGTTTTTCAACACGTAAATAATCAAATGTGTAATAATCACATCGGAGCAGTCCGTCTCAAACATTTATTATTGCTTTGGGTTGTGAACAATGGAGATGTTTCTCTTCTAGTCATTTTTTTGTTTGTTTGTTTGTTTTTTGAGAGTTTTCTTTGTTATAGGGTGTGAGCTCCCTGAAGAGAAAGAAAGAGACAGAAAGTGAGAAATTGCCCCCTTGGAGGGGGATGGCCACACTGCAATCCTTTCTTTTCTACTCTCCTCTCTAGATTTTGAGCATGCATGCTCACGTGCCTGGCATGAGTTATAAGCCACAGGGTCTGGGACTCAAACTGTGGACAGTTCATGGGAGTCCAGAAATGTAGCATATACACCCGCTGGTCCCTCGTCTAGCCATTTTGAAGTAGACAGCATTGTCGTATAGCACTCTGGAGCTCGTTCCATTTCTCCACTTGCATGCTCGAGTCTGTTACCCAAGCTCTCCTCGTACGGCAGTGAAGATACCAACATTCTCATTACCAGATAGGTCCCATCATCATCCTTCAAAACTATGCTCTTCCCTCCCAGTCCTCTTGTACTTCTTATAGACAAGCTTATTCTAGAATATACTCCCATATTCCTGACTGGTTTACTGCTCAGATGTTCTTACAATTCAAGTCTAACCCTCTGGCCAACTGTCTTTGTTTAAAAGGACAGGGAACTTTAGTGCCTTCCATTTGCAGGGGCTGGAAAGCTTGTGTTTATGTAAGCACCAACAATGGATCATTTTTCAGTTAGATACATATACTATCACTAGTAACATCTCAGAACATAATCTGTACATTCATCATTGATTATAATGATATAAACCTCCGTTTTCAATTATCATGATTATCACAAACATTTTGGGTCTGAATCTTGCCATATCATCAACATTCTTTATTCAAAATGTGTCTGAAGAAGAGCTCGCACAAGGGTAAAAAATGCAAACTCCGCTGCTTTCTAGTTTGTGCACTTCCAATGCTAAAGTTATCTGTAACCTTAGGGTTTTTTTCTGGTTTTAGTGGGATATTTTTAGCTACTTGTTTACTTTGTGTGCACTAATTGAATCTAAACTAGAAAAATAATCCATCTATCAGTTCATATAATTAGGAATATGCAAACTATAATTGCCATGATACACTGGGAATGAAGCCTTGGAAGTGACTCAGTCCACACTGGGAACATGAGCCTCTACTTTTCCTTCAGACACTAAAGTACTGCAGTTGGCATGTGCTCATGAGGGAGGAACAGGTGACAGTATTCAACAGTTAAACACTAAGGAGATCTCCTTTATTTGTATGTAGAACTAAATATAAATGGAAATATCTTGTATCTTTTTGGACTCCAACAGCAGCTTACTTGAGTATTCTTTGAGGTGTGTGAACCTCACTTAGAGACAGAAATTAAGTAATCAACAGATTTCCTGAAGTTAAGAAGGTTGGGTGTTAGCAAATGTTACTGTTGGACACTATAGGGTAATGTATTCTCACCAGCTGGACAGTCTGAAACTATTAGCACAAAAGCAAAGTCCTGCTTCTATTCCGCTCTCATTTGTGATCATTTTAAAAAACATTTTATGTTTTAATACTTTTTAACCTAATTCCCTTGAATTTGCTAGTTATTCTCCTACCTACAAACAATATTATTTATTACTTCCTCAAGACTGAGAGATTTATTTTTAAAACTTGAGTTAAAGTGAAAGAAAGAATTTGATTAGTAGCCAAGGGAGAAATCTGGTCAAATGAGGTTTATTTGGGCAGTTGGTTTAAAAACGACAAAATAGGAATATGTAAAAATTGGAAAAAGGCGGTTCATAATTTGAAAAAAGTATTTTTAAAGTCTTTAAGATATTTCTCATGATGCAGCTTGAATTTTTCATATTTCAACCACATTTAAAATAGAAATTATTAGCATAAACAGTAAAGTAATATACACATTTTCTTTAAATTGAGGCTTGAGCATAACCATTTGTTGAAACTTTGTGGAATGGAGTACACGCATTGTATGTTATTTCCCATACATTCATTCTAATACATATGCATTAACCTAGGGAAACAGTGAAGAACTACTAGAAAAGAGATTGGAATGTAAATGCAGGTTTGCGTGATGGACGTCAACATAAATCGCCTTCCAAAAACACTGACGTAGCTTTTACATTTTACTTGTGTGCTTCTCTATCCAGACAGCATAGAGGGCTCAGCATAGAGGGCTGTATACGCCTTGGTCTGTACACAGGGCAGTGTTAGTACGCTCCCAGGGATCTACAGTCCCTTCCATTACACGTCTAAAAATCCTGCCAGCTTCAGCTTTCTACATTCTAGGTCGTTTTCTGAAGCATCAGAATGAATCATCCTTCCTTCTATAGTTCTCTCGGTTTGTGATGGTATGTGCACTTTTCAAAATAAATTGCCAGTGTTCTATGTGCTCCTTCCCAAATAAAGCAATAAATTAACCAACTAAATGCAAGCTTATGCCCAGGAGACTTTGCATCCCTAAAAATGATATGAACTAATGATTTTGTACTACGTTTTTCTCTTTCAAATCTATCCTAATGTGACATTCCATATGAACATTCTTTATTTTTAACAAAGTTGGAATTTATCACAGTAGAAGTGTAAAGATGGTGGCTTGACCCGGACAGAACAGTGGGACTGTGAGAGTTTTTGCTAATGCTGTGAGGTCTAAAACTCTGAACATCTTGGGGGAAGGCCTTTAACATAGCATCATGTTTCCAGTGCTTAGTAACAGGTGCTTAATATTTCCTGAATGACTGGCTGAGAGAAAAGATAGGAGTGAATGAATATGAGAGTAGTCATATTTGCTGATCAGTGGCAGAAACAGTGAGGCTAACGAGCTCCCCCTGAAAGCTCCGTGCAGTGGTGCAGTGCTGTGTGTTCACGGCCATGCTCGCCGCTGAGGGGCTGCACTGTCTTGCTCCCTTTCAGGGCTGTTTCTGTGGCCAGGGCAGCCACGTCTTCCTGTTTTAGATTCCAGTCCTCTATTAGATATGTCTTTGGATGATCTCTTCTAATCTTTTTAGAATTTTATGATTTCTTCCTTACATTCCATCATTTATTTTATTTTTTTAAGTATAT